TAAAAATAGAGCTACCCTCTGACCCAGCAATTGCACTACTGGGTATTTGCCCCCCAAAATACAGATGTAGTACAAAAAGGGGGCACATTCTCCCCAATGTTCATAGCAGCAATGTCCGCAATAGCCAAATTGTGGAAGGAGCCGAGCTGTCCTTCAACAGATGAATGGATAAAGAAGATGTGGTTCATATATACAATGGAATATTACTCAGCCATCAGGAAGGATGAATACCTACCATTTGCATCAACATGGATGGAAATGGAGGGGATTATGCTAAGTGAAATAAGTCAGTCAGAGAAAGACAATTATCATACTGTTTCACTCATATGTGAAACATAAGGAATAGTGCGAAGACCATAGGGGAAGGAAGGGAAAACTGAATGGGAAGAAATCAGAGAAGGAGACAAACCATGAAAGACTCTGGACTCCAGGAAACAAACTGAGGGTTCCAGAAGGGAGGGGGAGTGGGGGGACAGGGTAACCGGGTGATGGGTATTAAGGAGGGCACGTGTGGTGATGAGCACTGGGTGTTACACACAACTAATAAATCGTTGAACACTACATCAAAAACTAATGATGTACTATATGTTGACTAATTGAACATAATAACAAAAAAAAGAACTAAAATTCAGACTATATAGTAAAAGAAAATCAAGAAAAAAAAGTGAAGCAATAAAAAGGAAAAAAAATATTTAAGATGATAGTATTATGGCAAATGTATCATAATAATAAATGTAAATGAGATCAACTCATTTATTAAAAGAAATAAACTCATAGAATGGAAAAAAAAAAAAAAAAGCCCTACCCTGGCCTGCTGAAAACAATGTAAATCATACCACATCCATGTCCTTCTCAAAATCCTCCTATGACTGCCTTCGCTGTGAATATGAAACCTAATTTCCCTCCTTGCCTACGTCTCTGACCTTGCTACCCCCCACTGCTTCCTTGCTCACTCCTTGCCACCTTCTCTTCGTTCCTCAAACAAGGCGAGTCCGTTCCTGCGTCTCACCTCTTTTTACTTCCTGCTGCCTCGATGCATCTTTGCCTGCCTAGGAATATGGCTGGTTTTTTCTTATCACTTGAGTCTCAGGTTGGAGGTCACCTCAGGGAGACCTCCTTTGACCCAATGCTCCTCCCGCATCCCTTTCTAGAACATTCCTTCCATTTTATATTCTTTATAGCACAGTTGCATTGTGAAATCACTGTGTGTTTGTCTATTTGGGATGTTGTCTGTCGCTCCTGTTAGTTGGTAAGTGTCTCTGGAGCAGGGCCTTTGCCATCTGCTCGCCTCGGTGCCTTCAGTCGTAGTGCAGTGATTAACACGCTCAAAGCCCTGAATAACTATCTATCTGTCGAATAAGTAAATAAACGGACAATGTCCTTGAAGGAATCTTACCAAAACGATGGGAAAGCGGCACTCTGTAAAAGTGACAGATAGTTGTGAGGTACTGACCAAGAGACCCAAGATAGGTATAACTCTTATTTCGGAAGAAAATCCAGGATAAATTGAACAAAAGCAATGAAAGCTATGATGAATTTTTTAAGTGTTCCTGAATCTTCCTGTACCCTTGTTTATTCTTAACACAGCTGCCAGAATGTTCCTTTTGCAGCATAAGTCAGGTTTTTCCTCCACTCAAAACCCTGAGATGACTCTCATATCCTCCAGAGAGAAAGCCCAACAGCCCTGTTGGCCACAGGGTCCTGTGGGATCGAGCCCCCAGGACTCTCCAGCCTCCCCTCCCTCCCCTCCCCTCCCCTCTCTGCCACTGCTACCACATGGGCCTTCTTGATGCTTCCCCTCCACTCTTCCTCTCCCTCTGCTTGGCCCTCCATCCTCTAGGATAACCACCTGCCTCTCACCTTCATCTCCTTCAACTCCTTGCTCAAATGTCACTTTTCAGTCAGGCTTACCATAACCAGCCTATTTAAAATGGCAATCCACCTCTATCCTGTAGGCCCTCTACCCTCTTCCAGAGCACTGATCACCCTTCAAAACATTGTATAATTCACTCTTTATATTATGCTTACTGATTGCTTTTCTCCGTGAGAATATCACTTCTGAAGACAAGGCCTTTGTCTGTTTTGTTCACTGACATATCTACAGCACATGGTAGGTACTGAATATATACTTGCTGGATGAACGAATTCATTCAACAAACCTGCATCCTGGGAAAAAATGATACAGAATGGTAAACACTGAGACAGAACCTCAATGTCTATAAGAGTCCTGTGGAGATCCAGGCAGAAGAAGAAACCCCATGACAGGGGAGAAGGAGGGGAGAGGAGCATCGGCTTTTCCTCCACCATCAGCCCCAGCATTGTGGTCAACGCCCACCGCACTCTGAAGCAGAGAGAGCTCGCACCAGCATTGTGTAAGAAGCCACGCTGTTCATTGTGTATAAAGACAGTACACTCTCAACCAGCCAAGAACCCAAAGGAACTGGAACTGCCCACTTTCTTTTCTTTCTTTAAAAAAAAATCTAATTGGCTTTATCAGACGATTCATGAATCGGGCAGCATCCCATCTAGCAAGCAGAATAATGCTCCAAGGAGTTGTACAAAATGAAAGGTTTTCATAGAAGGAGGGTGGGGCAAGGAAGTTATTAGCAAAAGGAAAGGGCTGTTTCAGACAAGGCTGCTTTCTCTGAAGGGAAAAGCAAGGAGGTCTTATCAGGCAGATGACGTCATCTTTCTTTGGTGGGGGTGGAAGGGGCCCAAGTGGCAGACTCCCTGGCATTGATCTGGGGGAGGTCCAAACTGCAATGAGGTTATGGATGAAGCCCTGGCTTGGGAACTCGGTCTAAGTGACACCATTTGGGGCCTGTCAGCCACCATGGTCTGAACTAGTGTGTCAAGAATTGCACAGAGGAAGGAGAGACAACATTGTTGGCTGAGTGCGGTCTCTGTTCCCCTAGAGCGCTTGTGTCACTCCAGACAGGGATGACAGGCCTGTCATTTACTGAGTGAGTGAGTGCTATGGGTCTGGACTGCTACCCAATGAAAAACCTCACACTCTAGTTGATGAGAAAGATAGCCCCATTTTATACACGAGAAGCCCGCGACAGAGCAGGGTGAAGCTACTCCCCGGGGTAGGCAGTAGCAGAATGAGGATTCAGCGCTACACAGCATTGTCAAAATTAACCTTGCACCCATCAGACTCCAGGGAAACACTACCCCCTGGCCTCCTAATAAAACTGAGATCACCATCGTGCAAAAATAATTTCCAAATCTCTACTTCTTCGATCTCTAACTGCTCAAGAAAATGTCAGAAAGCAGAATCCCCTCCCAGAAAGGACTGGGACTTTTCATCTAGAAAAGAACAGATGCAGACGGGACTTGATGGATATAATTTTTAATGTTGTGAATGCGATGGTTGAAGTCGATGCACTTGAAAACTTGACAACAAATAAGAAATAGGGATTATGGTCAGTTACAGGCAAGAATACTATCTTTTGAACTTTAAAGTACTTGAAAGAGTAGATCTTAAGTATTCCTACCACTGAAAAAACAAAACAAAACAAAACAAAAAAACAACTAACAAATAATTCTGCGACCCGATAGAGGTGTTACTAATGCTAAGCTGGTAATCCTACTACAGTATGTAAATGTATCAAATCAACATGTCATACACTGTAAACTTACAGAATGTTCTATGTCAGTTCTATTCCAATATAAAAAAAGATAAGAGGGACAGCTCTTAACAGTCTATGATAGACCTGTGTAACTCTTACCCAAAAAGTGAGAGTGGGAGGAAATATAAATAGGTTCAATCTGTTTGGACAAGTTGAAGAAACTAGTACCCTAACCGACTATTTCCCAGGTGAGCATGAGATCCCCAGCAGGAGGACTTGCAATCACAAAACCCTGGATTTGAGTCTTATTCTTATTTAATATATCTTTTTTCTCACCCCATATGCTTGCTGTTAGAAGAGAGAAATAATTTGTTTCACTCTACTCTTTTGAATGACTTCATTTGATTTGTAAGGAATTATTTATTTACATCATTTCTGTTGCTACTTGATAAAGAAATATTGCATCTTTTAGGAAATGGTTGGAAGCCCAGACAACAAAACAATAAAGAAAACAGAAATATAGCAGAAATGAAATAGAAGTAATTAGACTTGAATCTGACATCTCTTTATTTAGCTAACACAATATATTAGTACAAAAGGGAGAGTAATGGTTTTTCATTTACCTTAATATTTACGATCATTATGAAAAATCACATAGTCATAGTTAGGGAAATCCCTGGTTGAAGCCAGTGTATAAAAAAGGTTTTTACTTGAACTGCATTACCCTGGTCCATTTCCAAGCAAGTCATTTTTCTGCACAACAAAAACATTTTTGAAAAAAAATAAAAATGTTACAAGCATTATTCTTTTTTATTTTAAATTTATATATTTTCAAATAATGTGTGCAATATCTACCATTGTTCTAAAATCTTCTCTCATTCCTTCTGCATCACCAAAGAGTATCCTTTTGGGAGTTAAAATTTCAGAAATTACTGGAACATGCTGGAGCAACTTGTCATGTTATTGCCCTTTAAACACATTTTATTGTTGAGCAAGACACTATGGAATTTGGTTTATTTTTACTTTCCTTAACTGAACCTGTATTATGAAATGAGGTTTGCTTCTTACTACCTCTTACCATTATTTTTTTTTATTTGAAATTTTGGAAATTATTATTTAAAGCATTATTTTTAAATTTTTGAAAAATGTTAAGCTTATGAATTGTAGTATATGCAGCATAATTAAAATGAATTAAGACATTATTGCTCATCAGCACTGTCGTTCCTCAGCTGAGGAACTCCACATCTCCTTCCTGAGAAGGAAATAAAGACGAAGCTGAGCCTGGAGCTCAGAGCCGCCATTGTGGACCCTGGCCTGGCTCTTGTCAGGCTCCTCAATCCCAGATTGATCTCTTCATCTTCTCTCTCCAGGCATAGCCATCAGGATGGGTGCAGCAGAAGCAGCCCTTCTTGGGGCTTGAAGGGCTCTGAGAGCTCCATGGCCCATGACCACTGCAGGCATTTGGGCCAATCAAGGCATCTCACCCGTGTGCCCCAACATTTCTCATTCCCCATCATCCCTGACTGAAGCCATTGTCAACTCATGCTCAGAACCACTGCTCAGACAAATGCAATTTTTGATCTTCCTCTCTGTCAGACCTGCAGCACAAGAAGCCCAGAGTCAGAGCAGGGATAAGCTGAGTTTGGTGGCCACCTGATGGCGCTCTAGAGCCGCACTGTCTGATAAAGCAGCCACTAGACACTGTGGTTTTTCATATTTAAAGTATTTAAATATAAATGAAACTTAAAACTCAGTTCCTCAGTCTTACTATCACATACTCCATCGTCACACGTGGCCCGTGGCTGCCATATTGGACCGCACCAAATACCTCCACGCAGGGGATCACAGAAGATCTCAGTCGTTGCAGAAAGCCCTCTTGGACAGAACTGCTCTAGAAGGCATTATATGTCCTGCAGGCGATGATTTTGGGTGAGGAGTGCTACTAGGTCGATCTCAGTGGAAGAAAGGCCTGTCTTGTTCTGGCTCTGTCACCAACCTGCTGTGGATTGGGGTAAGTCATCTCCTTACTCATGAGGACTTTCTGGAACTAGATTTGGGTCCATGATGGAAGAAGGGCAACCTCACATGGCACATGGGTCCTAGAGAACTCACTTCTGCACGGCTTTTTATCAAGTTGGTTTTACTGAACTGTGGTTTTGTATCACGTCTTCCACTTATGAAAGGACAATCATATAAAATTCAGTACTGCATTTGTTTCAGGGATATTTTTGAATATTCTAAAAATTATATCACATAATTTTCTCTTTATGAGACCCAATGGGGAGATTTCTCTCGGATTTTTCCCAGGACCAGAACAAAATGTGCTCTTCATAAGCAACTAGTGGGCATTTAGTTTTCAAAACAACGTGAATATTGTAACTAATCTCATTTTCCTTTTTGTTTCACTGCGAGGAAGCTCAGAACAATAATATTAGAAGCAGTTAGACCGCATTTTTGGTATTCATTCCTCTTTCCTAATTGTATCTCTAATAAAAGCTTTTTGCAAGCCATCAAAATATTTTGGGGAATGAATAGGAATTGAAAGAAATTATTTTATTAATTGAGGGAAATAAATGTTTAGAACCTCCAAGCCCTCAAATACATCATGAAATGCATAACCTAAAGTCCATGCTAAGAGAATCCATCTGTTGGGAAGATATCCTTACAATGATGTGTTGTAAGCAGACTTGACCTTAGATTTGGAAGTTTGATAGATACATATTTCTGGAGTCGAGTAAAAGACTAAAAGAAATTGGTGTGCCTGAATTTATAAACTCAAATGCTCCAGAGACTGAACAATGAAAATACATCACTTTGTTTTTAAACAGAGGGTTTTGTTGTTCTGGTTAAAAAAAAAATTTTGAATGTTTCTAAAACTGTTGCATTCACAGAGTTCTCACCATCCCCACACCAAGCATGATCTAAGAATATGCTACTTATTCCTAAATTAAGGCATAAAAAACAATACTGAGTGTTCTTTTTATTATACATCTGAGAGTCTCTTCATATTTGTGACAGAAATGAATGATGGCCCAGGAAGCAGGTAGGTGACCCAGGCCCAGCACCCCCAGTTTTGAGCCAGAGGATGGGAACTCAGAGAATGATAGAGGCAGATAGGGCAAGTATAGGGCAAGTATAGGGCACAACAAGGGGATTATTTAAATAATAATAAATGATGTTTACTGAGAATTTAGTATGTGCCATGCATTCTGGATGGATTGTCTTGTTAACGAACTATGGGATAGATACCACTTCTGTTCTCATTATAGAATAGATAAAATGTGGGTCCACAGATGCTCAGTAAGAGATGGGACTCCAGTCTGGGACTGACTGCTTAGCTATGACTCAATATAAGTCCTCAGCAGAATATGAATGACCTGACTGCAAGTTAATGGTGAAGTTGAGAAAATCCCAGAGAGGGCCCCATTCTCACCAACCCTATACTGCAAAAAGCCCTTCTGAGCTCCTTCTCCACTGCCCAGAATGAATGAGAGTGAACCAAAGACATGCAAAGACCCAGGACAGATAGCTACCCAAATAAAAGGAGAAATATTTCTGCCTTGGCTTCTTATCATGTAATGTTGAACTTTTTCATATTGCTTCTCCCTATAAAGAGTACAAATGCGGTTTCACTTACACACAATAAATTTGCTTATGTATTTAATAATAATCATACCAATTATTCAAGTATTCTGATAGTTGCAACCCTGAGAAGGCTCAGTTCTCCTATCTCTGCTTCTAATTCTATTAAACAAGGATGGATAAAAGGCTTTCTTATCAAAGTACCTTAGTATTTGATGCTGAGTGCAATAAACAAATGCTGAGCCAACTTTGTATCCAGCTTAAAAGGCCAGGAATTTTCCAATGAAGCCTCTATCCACATGTAAAGGCCTAATCCAAATATAGCTTCTAGAACATAATTAAGAAATCATACTTGGGGCCAACATTTTAGCATTCAAAAATAATTAAATGCTAACAACTGGCTAGGCATCTCTCTACAGATTGTGGTGCATTTCATCTTAGAACCTGCCTTACTTTATCCATAGATTGAACATGAGGTGACCCATCCTCCTTTTCAGGTTGAGGAGAAGTGGTTGGGGAAGAGAGAGGATGGGTCAGATCCTTCTTACTTCAGGATTGGGGAACTAGAGCATCTCAGCTGGAAGGAGGCTCTGTGGGCTACCCCAAACTGCACTGCAGCCCCTTTTCAGGAAGGAAGGAAGCCAGCCTGGCTTGCCCAAGCCCTGAGTTCTGGCAGCTGCCTTTTACCATATAAAGGATCTTGCTGGCCTGCAGGACCACTGGGTAAGCAGCCCCTGAGGAGCGATCATTCAGGCATGTCTATGATACCATCCAGCTCTCCTGGGATCTTCTCCCACCATATTTAGACTTTGGCTTCTATAACTCATTCCGTGTGAAAGCAAAGCAATTGCCTGCATTTTGGTCTGAGATTGCACTTGCTGTTATAAATCTCGGTGATCCATTATTGTCTGTAAGTATATAGATAACTAGTTTAGATACATTTATTTGATTAACATCTGCTGGGCTCCCATTATGTCTGTCACTTTAGCACTCCCTCCTGACCATGAAGGAAAATAGTGTTCCCCGGGCTGCTCCTCTTTCTCTTGCTCTCCAAAGAGGAAAAGAACTTGTCTCTAGTTGACCAGCGAGTGACCAGCCACCTGGGATTGCTGACAGAATTTCCCAACCCCTCATCATCCTCCCACCTCCCCCTACACCTGACTGCTCAAAGACAAGTGTGTTCATAAACACGCCCTTGACTTCCCACGCACTCGGGCTTTGTCGAGTCTGGCCGTTCTGCCGTAGAGCAAGGCAGGACTGAGTGATAAGCCAACGTAAACAAGAAATACTTCTCTGGGGAACTGGTATGGGTCCTAAGAGGACCCTCTCAGAGAGTTTGCAGTAGGAGGGCCCTCAGCAGACTTAGATGGTTCTTTCCAAAGGCAGATCAAAAGCAAAATGATCAAACAGAGTCTTAACAAAGACATTGCGCCCGAGCATGGTGAAGTGTGAATTTTAGAGCCCTGCTTATGTTCCAGCTCCTTGGGGAGTCAGGTACAAAGGCAAATTTTATTGCAGTAATGAATAAAGCCATTGATTTACATGCTACTGAAAATGCATCTAGCCAGATGAAAGAACTCAAACAAAGCAAGAACTAACATGCTCTCCTCCTGTCCCCTCCCTCCTCCTCTTTTCGGGAATGTGAGTTTGCGAGAAAACCCCAAGAAACTATGTTGCTCGTAAGGCAGATAGCAGGGGTAAACATCAGATGCTGCCTGGGTGGCCCCACCCCTCGGATCCATCCCACTGGTCATCAATACGGGCGGGATGGCAGGAGGAAGGCCTCTTGCCAACCCTAGCTGTCCTCACTCACCCTGGTCCTCTACTCCATTGTTGCCAATTACTTGGATAAAGATAAAATACGCTTGGGCGCCTGGGTGGCTCAGTTGGTCAAGCAACTGCCTTCGGCTCAGGTCATGATCTTGGAGTCCCTGGATCGAGTCCCGCATCGGGCTCCCTGCTCGGCGGGGAGTCTGCGTCTCCCTCTGACCCTCCCCCCTCTCATGTACTCGCCCTCTCTCATTCTCTCTCTCTCAAATAAATAAACAAAATCTTTAAAAAAAAAAAAAAAGAAGATAAAATACGCATGGAGAGTGTCAATTCCTTGTTTGGCTGCCCAGCATCTGAACCTCCTTCCTATAGTAGGGGAATTGCTTGCATAACAAGCCCCGATGGGAGGCAGAGCTGGCCTCCAATAGCAGATCCTGAAAGTACCAGATGCTTGCATTCCCAGCTTGCTTTCAGCCAGGGTGCAGGTAGGTGACCCAGGCCCAGCCACTCAGGCTAATGCACCCCCAGTTTTGAGCCAGAAGATGGGAACTCAGAGAATGACAGAGGCAGATCATTTCTGGTGGCAGGAGACTGGCTGTGGCAGCAGCTCTTGGTTTCTGGGCAGCACCGACACACCACAGGGTCCACGTCCATGATCCAGGGCCACTGGCGGCCAGGCTTGGCTATCGAGGCACAAGGGCAGTGACATCCTCCACACTCAGGTTTTGGTCCCCGGTTTGTGATGGCATCTTTCCTGCCGCTCAGGCTACTCTTTCGTTACCACAGCCCGGGGTTCTATGGCCTTTGCAGTGAACCTGTGAGCCAGCCCACATCTTTGCGATCAATTGTTTCTCTGTTTACATCAGCCAGAGTTGATTTTGTTGCTTGCAACTGAGAACATTGACCGATCGCATGCTTTTTAACTCTGCCAACGGCATGAAGCTGGAAGGAAAGCAGTCTCTTGGATGACAGAATTAGGACTAAAAAGATCACCAGGACTGGAACCCAAGACGACATCAAACAGGAATAAATATGTGTGCCCTAAAGTTGGACCCAAGAGCCAACTCTGTGAGATCAGACTCGAGCAATACGTCTCTGGCCTGAGCTGGAAAATACACACTTTCAAGAAACAAAGGGACCCCTTCAGGGTTGATGTTATTTTTTTTTTTTTTAATTGCATTGCCACTCAAATATAAAGAAACATAAAATTAGGTATAAAGTCCTTATGATCATGGCTCGTTTACAGTTATAAAACCAAAGCAAATTTACAAATTAATTGTAAGCAGAACTACAAAAGCAATAACATTCAAATTAACATCATTAATTTAATGTGAGAGATGATGATGTTTTGCTGAAACTGGATCATTGCTCACCACATGGCTCTGGGACCAACTGCTGAGGCCCAGGGGGTCTCGACGTCAGGGAGGCCTGTCTGCAGGCCTTTAAGCTAGGAATCCACTGAGCCCAGGCACCCCCCCCAACTCACCACATTTCAGATTCCCCCTAATTTCCTACAAGAGTGTTCTGTCCATATTGCTGGGCTTTGGTCTTACTGCCCTGACTTGCACCAAAATTCCTTCTTCCCTCAGATTAATCTCTCCTTAACTGAGCTTTAATGCCCTGGGATGGAACTCATCAGCCCAGCATGTTGACCCCTGA